TGTTGCGCTGCCAGGGCGAGCCCTACGCCAAGGTCCAAGCGCCTGGATTGGGCGACCTGCGCGATCTGAGACGCGACGAAAATTAAAACCACATCCCCAACTTGTTGCCAAGGGTTAGGCCCTCCTTGAGAACGGAAAGGCGACCTCCTGTCCGCGCCGAAGGAAGAGCCAGGACTGCTCGCGGGCGTCAGACGCGCAGGCTCTCCAGAACCCAGCAACGCCACGACGTCCCAAGATCGGGTTTTTGCTCCGCGAGATGGCGGCCAAGTCCCGAGTGGCCTCCTTTCTACGCGCGCGTGTTTTTTTGGCGGCTGGGAGGGGGGAGGGGGGGGGGGCGGGGGGCGCGCTGCTTGAGGAGACGTGCTATTGATTCGTCGTGTACAGAGGTGCGCTCTGTTTACAGCAGCCGCTGGCGAAGCAGACACAGCGCTGGAGCGGGCGAAGGCCCCGAACCGTTCCCCGACCTGCGGGGGGCCCAGGGTGGACTGGAAATCCCCCGCGCTGGAGGGCGCCCCTGATTTGCGCGAACTACAGTGGGGGCCCCCTTTCCCACTGCGCAGGTTCGCACAGCTCCCACGGAGCTCTGCGCGAAGGGGGGCAAGAGGCATTTGCCGAAAGGGATAGCGAGCTCCTTGAGCACCTGCACCTGGGGCGCCGCCTGGGCCTGCCGCGGAGCCACTGGCGCCGAAGAGCGAGCGCTGCAAACTGCCCGTGGACGCAGCGCCCTCGATGCACATGTCCATTTCGCGGGCGACTGACTGCCTCAGCCGAGACGAAGACAGGGGGCGCCGTGACAGGTCGGAGCTGGGAGCGACTGGGGCGGCATCTTCTCCTCTGAATGCGGCGGCCGTCGGCCGGCCGCGCCCCCGGCGGGTCGGAGCGGCGGCCCATGCGCTCCACGCAGGAAAAGAAGAGGCCCAGTCGACTGCTTCCGACGCGGACAGCTTAAGCCCCCTCGGCCCTGAGTTCAGAGAAAACCCCCCTCGAAGTTCCGACGGGGCCAGGCCGAGATAAACGGCGAGGGCAAGGAAGCCGAGCGAGCCTTAGCGTCGAGATTCACGCGCCGATTGATGAGCTTAGTGAGCGCGGGCATTCAAAGCGATGCGAGAACGCGTGCCACGGGCGCTTGCCCTGGGAAATTTCGGCGGCGAATTTCGAACCGGCCCCCCCCCCCCCACACCGCTCGGCGCCGTCGGTCAAAACCAGGGGGGGCTCGCCCCGGCGCCGGCGACGGCGGGGGCGCAGCGACGGTAACCGCCGCTGCCACCACCGCCACCACTACCACCGCCACCGCCGCCTCAAACCACCACCACCACCACCACCACCAGCCCACCGCGCAACCACCGCCACCACCGCAGCCACCACCACCACAACCACCACCACCACAACTCACCATCACCACCACCACCACAAAAACCCACCACCACTACCACCACCACCATAATCTACCACGCCACCACCACCACCGCCACAACCACTACCACTACCCGCGGCACAACCCACCACCACCACCACAAACCACCACGCCGCCACCGCCACCACCACCACCTCCACAAACCACAAACCACCACCACCCACCACCACCAGCGCCACCACCACCACCACCACAAACCACCACCACAAACCACCACCAAACCACCACCACCACCACCACAACCCACCACCACCACCACCACCACAAACCACCACCACACCACCACCACACCACCACCACCCACCACCACCCACCACCACAACCACCACCACCACATCAAACCACCACGCCACACACACCACCACAACCACCACCACCGCCACCACCACCACCACCACAAACCACCACCACCACCACCACCATCATCGCCCTCGTCGACGCCCCCCGCCGCCGCCGCCCGCCGCCGCGGGCGCCGGTGCCTGCCCAGAAAAGGAAATCGCCGTCCCCGCCGCCGCCGCCGCCGCCAGCCGCCGCCGACGCAGGCGCTGGCCCGAGGAGGGGGAGAAAGGAAAAGCAGGGGAGGAAGGGGAGCGGGGGGTTCGAACCCCCCCCTTTGTCACGGGAGGGGGGGGGGGGAGTTCCCCCCCCCCCCCCTCCCAGCGAGCACATAACGCGCTCTTACAAAGCGATCGATCGGGCGGCCAAGCAGATCCTAGACACCCGAACAACGCAGTTCCAGCAAGCATCTAGCCCGCCAAGCCCAGGAACATCAAGGGGGATCCTGCGCATTTCTTGTAGGGAGGGCTGGCACCCGGCCTGTCAGGTTCCAGGAAGCTGCCGGGCTGCCTCCCCAAGAAACGGAAGAACTTCATGTAGGCTTCAGACGAGCTGACCAACATGAGCGCCGCAAGTCGCGGGTTCCATAGAGGCGAGGAGCTGCTCTAGGTTCAATGAGAGCTCGGCAGGGGAAGACCACGGCAGCCGGGTAATAAACGCGCGTCTGGACCCCCATCTGCGAGCGCAAATTGAGGGGCAGGAGTGGGGAACTGCCACTGCCCTGTTAGATTGCATAGCCAAGCTCCTCTGAAAGTTTCTGCCCATGGGCGAACGACAAGCGTGAGCTGCGTTCAAACAAGCACGGCCTGTGCATCTGAAACTGCGCAGCTGCCGAGTGCGAGCGACCATGCGTTCCAAAGAGTGAGTGGGGGTCCAGGATTCGCGGGGCTGTCTCCCTCGGCCCGCAGTGCGAGCTGGGAAGGGTTTTCCCAACAGGTTGCGGCTTGCCGGCTGGACTCCTGAGAATGTCGAGCAGGGGGGGCTCCGAAAAGGATCAGAGGACGGTTGTGCAGACGACGAAAGCCTGAACAGCTTCGGGGGCATTCGCGCCAGCCGCGTCGAACTTGATTTTGCGCGATCCGTTGAGGGAGAGACGGTCCTTAGCTAGGATAGCCCCAGCCACCAAGAGAGTATCCAACAGGGAAATAATGATATCAATGTCTCTAACCACGTAATCAATGCGCCATGCCAGATGGAAGCCCGTGGGACCCATGAGGGAACCAAGAGGGACCCGAATCCAGACATGTGGCAAGGACCCAGAGGTCCGCGTCCTTGAAGAGCCCGTGGAAGTAGCCTCCAGGAGTATTCTGAAACTCGGTCGCCATGGGCCTGGCATGGCGAGACAGCCCCGGTCCGACACGTGCATGAGCGTCGATGAGTCCAAGTAGCCCGATGCCTGGAGACTTGTGCGACTGGAGGAGACTGGCCACCTCCTGCAACCAACTGCTGAATACTGCTTCTGACTTCTTACTGCGTGGTGCATGAGCCACCAGCACGTCAAGCGAAAAAGAACCGGCACGCAATGCCACGAGAAGAAATCTGGCGGTGGCTGCGAGCACGCAGCAATGCTTGGATTGCAGCCGAACGCCAGGGAGCACCTCGATCTGCATGTTGACCCAGAGCGGTCCACTCATATCCTCGAGTGGAGTCAATCGCCGCGTGAACAGCATAGTAAGGCTGTACCGTGGGAACTCCAGACTGGGAAAACCTGGTTTCAACAGCACCCACCAGAAAGAGCTCCTGCTTGGGAAAGGACGCTCCTAGCTGTCCCATGCTCCCAGTCAAGAAGAGCCCCACTGGTCGGAAATTCTTGTTGGGGTTTGACTGGGTGGGGTCCGCGAACAGGACGCTAGCTGCTGAAACCTTGACCTGCTAGGAGGATGAAGTGGGCACTTGATGAGAACTGCACGCCGATTTCAGGAAAAAGAGTACATGTGAAAGAGAGGCCACGCCTTTTCCAAGGCTGTCTCTTGAAACTGCTGCATGACCTCACCTGATGGCGGGGGAAACTGCTCGCGCACCTGAGGGGGCCCGAAGAAAAGACATAGCCATTGTAGCTCTGCCTCTGACGCAAGACGTCTACGCCATGACGCATCTGGGACAGAGAGGTCTCCTGTACAAAGCGCAACCAATGAACCAATGGTGTCCGCGAGCTCGTTCCCAGACTGACACAGCCGCGTGATTCTAACGAATGTACGAAGCAGAATAAATAGCAGTATTTGGCCTAACTGTCGAGACAGACCCTCGTGTCGAGACCAGACGGAAGAGGGGGAGGGAGGAGGGACGAGGGAGGAGGAGGAAGAGGAGGAGGAGGACGACAAGAGCCACCAACGATGTTGGAATACCTTCACGCCAAATTGCCCCTACACCGGTTTATTTCCGTTGAAAGGTCTGCCTCGTTGGAAGCCAACCATTTGAAGACCCTGACGCATGCCAAAACATTGTTTTCGCGGGTCCAACGCCACGGATCAACCTGACTGTTGCGTCTTGACGTTCCTGGATCGTGCCAGAATGCTGTTCTTGGGATTTCAACACCGCGAATCAACGTAACTGTACTGTTGCGCCCGCAAAATGCTAAATCCTTTCAAACAACAATTTTTGGTACGCTGACCACGGGAATCCGTGAAACTCTTGAAACTCTTGCAAGTTGTGTGAACGAATGCCACATTTTGAAGAGAAAAAACACGGGTTATCCTCAATCCGTGGAGCCCGTGCAATTTTTTCAAAGCGAATGTGCGCGGCGTTAAAGCGAGAGCCACATTCTGAAAACGCATGATCCTCAATCCGTGAAGCTCCTGCAACTTGAATGTGCGCGGCGCCAAGGCGAGACCCACATTTTGAAAACGGGTGATCCTCAATCCGTGAAGCTCTTGCAAATGTCCAAAGCGAATGTGCGCGGCGCTAAGGCTAGAGCCACATTTAGAAAATCACCCGCCCTCCACCTGTGAAACTGTTGCCAATGTTTAAGATTCAGAGTCATAATTAGTGAGGAAGTCTCACGCGAAACGCCCGGCCCGCCCTAAGAGCTGGCCTCGGGGTGCCACAGGGAGAACTTATTTATAAGGAAAAGGAATGGAGGAGGGGGAGGAGGAGGATGAGGAGGAGGAGGAGGAGGGAGGAGGAGGAGGAAGAGGAAGAGGAGGAGGAGGAGGAGGAGGAGGAGGAGGAAGGAGAAGGGGGAGGAGGAAGGAGGGGGGGGAGGAGGGGGGGGACGGAGGGATCAAAGAATACTCTGGCGTGTGGCCGGAGCCTCCGCGGCGCTGCCGGCGCCCAGGCCGCTGGAGCCCCCCGCGCTGCTGTTCAGGCCGGTGGCGCCCCCGCCGGCGCCGCTGGTCAGGAACGGGTCCGCGCAAAGGTCGGGCGCGGGCCTCTCGATGTCGGCGGCGGCAGGCGCGGGCCTTGGACGCCCGCGTTATCCCGGATAACTCCGGTCTGAGGCAACTTCAGTCTGGGCCCCCGAGGCACGAACCAGGAGGTGCTGCATGTGAGTTACCCCTGACCACCCCCCCATCAAAGATGGTCCGGGAGTGGTTGGACGCCCGAGTTATCGGGGATTGCTCCGAACCCGGGGCAGTTTGGGGCCCCGAGCGAAGAATCAGGAGCTACAGTCAACCCGTATCATAAGAATGCGCGGCAAGGATGCCAGGGCCTGGGAGGCCCATGTTAACGTTTTTCGAGCGAGGTTGGCCAGCGAAAGTCGCCAAGGATGGGTCGAAGGGGCAAGGATGCAAGGGTATCCTTAGGAAGGTTGCCCATCCTTACTGTGCGGGTTGACTGCACCCCTGACCACCCCGAGCGCCGAGGATTCGGAGCTCCGAGGGCCTCTCGATGTCTGCGGCGGCGGCGTCTGGCGCGGCTGTGGAGGACATCGCGGCGGGCTTTCGGTGGATCGAGCTGGGCGCGGGAAGAGCGGGGACGAAGCCCGGCAGCAGCTGGGGGCCCCCACCGCCCCTCGTCGTGGAAGAGGCACGGCGGGAGGTTTTGTTGGCCATCTTCGGCATCTGGGGGCCCTCACTGGGCCTCGGGTCGGCTACACGTAAGAGTGACCCTGGGTAAGAGTGACCTTTGGTGCGCGGCTTTGGGGGGGCCGCGGGGAGGCCAAATCCAGGCGCGCTAGCCGCTGCGCCCGCTTCGTTTTCAGCCATATGCAGAGGGCCCATCTGTGCCCGCACCAAAGGTCACTCCGGCGAAAGGTCACTCTTACGTCTAGTCGATGGGCCTCGGGACAGCCCCAAAAACGACCCCGGATCAAAAACCAGTCCGGGGGACGGGGCCCAAACCTCTGAGGCTCGACGTCGTGAAACAAATCACGGCGTCGGAGTTCTGGGTCCTGCCCACCTTGGACAGGACCATGCTGCCGGTGCCGACGACGTTGCCCATTCTGAGACGACCGCAGGCCGCCTGCCCAACATTGGCCGCTGCCGACTTTGGATAGCATGTATTCGCTGCTGGGTATCGTGCCCACTTTTTCCGTGTCCACGCTGGGCGTGCCAACAGATCGCTGGCCAGATGCCTCCTGGGTGGGGTCGGAGCAGGCGGGGTCCGAGGATTGCGCCGCATCGTCGATGCATCGGCGGCGCCGGCGTGGAGGACACCCTGCCCCTAGATCGAGCCGCATCGCCGATGCATCGGCGGTGCGCAGCGATCCTCCGACCCCATCTGCTCTTCTGACCCCACCTGGGAGGCCCAGGCCGGCGCAGCCCGCGGGTCGGCCCCGAGGCTGGAGCCCTGTGTATTGGGACCTCTGGCCCCAAGGAGGCTGTAGGGAGTCTTAGCGGACCGCCTGTCGAGCCGGCGGCTCGGGCCAGCACGTCGAGGTGCACGGGCAGCGGATCACGACTGGAGGAGGAGCGGGCACAAGGGGGGGAGGAGGAGAGGAGAAGAGAACCCGCTCGAGCTTGAGGTGACCGACGTGACGACGCGGAACATCGGGTGATCCTCGCTCACAAGTGCCTCCCCGTTCGTCTTTGATTCACCCGCTCGCTTCAGGCAGGCTTCCCGAATCGGAGCGGCCGAAAGGGGCGCAACCAACCAGCTGCATGCAGCAAGTTTTCCTTGGACCTCCCGACTCCCAGCACCAGGAGCGACCATGCACGGAGAAGCGCGCTGGGTGGCGGGATCGAAACGAGCTGCATGCGGCAGGCTCGGTACCCCATATTCCTGAGCCCCCCGATCGTCCGCCCCAACCGAGCTGCAGTCGAGATTCCGACGCAGATTCAGGCGAGCCCAAGGAACACAAAGCCAGCTCTCCCCCGAAATCTTGTGGCCAAACGCGCTGGGCTGGCCGTGCGAGTGCCAGTTCCGTGCGCGAGCACGGGGGTGGAGTAGAAACTGCGCCAGAAGGAACGCAGGGCTTCTTCCCCATGTCCTAGGTAATATCCTCAGGCATGGGGTTATTGTCATAACTGGTATGGTCATTCAAACTCCCAGTATTATGCGCACCGCGACATAGCAGGCGTGGCGCACGGGCACCCCAGGGGAGAGCCGCCACGGATTATGACGCTCTCCCGTTCGCGCCCAGCTCGTGGGGATGCTTCCAGCGGTTTGCCTGTTTGGGCGGCCTCCCGGGCGCCTCTCTCTTTAGGGAGCCCCACGATCACCGCGACATGGCAGGCGTGGCACTGGGGCACCCCGAGAAGGGGAATCGCCAGGGGGGGCATGAGGCGCTCCCGTTCGCGCGGCGATTCTGGGGGATACGTCACGCGGTTTGCCTCTCTGGCCCCCATGCACTCCTCTTGTTTGAAAGCTGCATGGCCACCGCGACGTAGCTTGCGTGGCGCTTGGGCACCCCAAGGGGGGCCGCCAGGAGGTATGAGACCCTCTCGCTCGCGCCCACTTGGGAATCTCATGACCACAGCGACATAGCAGGCGTGGCACTTGGGCACCCAAAGGGGGAGCCGCCAGGGGGGGTGAATCTCTTCCCGACCGCTCCCAGACTGTGGGGATGTTGGTTTGCCTCCTGTTTTGCCCCCCCACCCCCCCCCGCTCCCCAGATGTCTATCTTGCAAGAGCTCCATGATCACCACGATGTAGCGACATGTGATAATGGGTGCGAGAAGTTGCCGAGTCGCGCACAGATCGGGGGACCACCCTCCCCCTCCGGAGAACCAAGATCAGGCCGATGTAGTAGGCATAGCATATCGGCACCCCTTAGGGAAGCAGCCAGGGAGCGCTCAGTCGCCACCGGTTAAGACTCTCTCATTTAGGCACTCAGCAGCAGGGAAGGCCAGAAACTAAGATGCACAAGTGTGGATTTTCGCGTCGGAAAAATGTTCCAGGCCAGCGTAGGGAGTGCATCCCCAGGGGGACTTCGAGCACCCAGCTTCACGTGCCTGCCTTGCTGGGGCAAGGATCATATTGACTTCCCTTGGCGCTTCTCCGTTTGCTATGGATTTCCGGGGGGGGGGGGGGGGGGGGGCAAAATTCGATTTCACCATGCAGGATAAACAACGCTTGAACATCGCAACGCTGGGTCTTAAAAGCGAGGGTGATCGTCTTCATGATCGGTACAACTATACCGTCTCCTCATGCGAAGCGGGCGTGCTGCCGTGGGACTGAACCCATGGATTTGGCCCTACTGCGCACCATGAGGCCATCGGCAGACGCGACCGAACGGCTTGTCTCGAAAACTGATGGGAGGCTTCCTCCCCGCCACCGTCCATTACTCCCCAGCGCCCATGTAGTGTCAGCGTTCCACTCCCTGCGCCGGCATCATCTGGTGGTGGAAACCCAGCGCTTGACTGGAACACGCAGAGAAAGCTGCTTAGCTCTGGACCTTCGGCAACCCGCTGCTTTGCGCCAAGGAGGACAAGCAGGAGAATGAGGAGGAGAAGCTGAGTAAACCCACAACTCATCAACGATGTTGCAATGAACTCTCCTTCCGATGTTCCCCTTCATAGGTCCCTAAAAAATATAGTTCCACTGCGCGGAGTGCTCCATTTGATAAAAGCCGTCAGAAGATGTACAGCCATGCCAGAGCACCAACCACTCCTGGGACTTCGTGCCAAAACACCGTTCTTGGGACTTCAACAACGCAAATCAACGTGACCGTCGCGTCCTGGCAATACTATGTTTGGGACGTCAACGATAAGAACCCTTACAACTGTTGTAAGCTGCTAAGACGAATGTGCACGGCGCTAAGACGAGAACTACATCTCGAACACGAACCGCGCCGTCCATCCGTCAAGCTCTTGCAAAATTCCAAAACGAACGTGCGTGGCGCGAAGTTGAGAACCACATTTTGAATCACCTTTGAACACGCAAAGACAAACGTGCGCGGCGCTGAGGCGAGAATCACATTTTGAAAACGACTTGCCCTTCATCCGTGAAACTCTTGCAAACGTTTAAAACGAATGTGCGCGGCACTGAAGGCGAGAGCCACATTTTGAAAACGGCCCGCCCTCCATCAGCGAACAAAAATCTGGCATATTCTCAGCCTCAGGATCATAAAAAGGTGAGGGGGTCTCGGGTGAAACGCCCCGCCCGCCCTTTCGACCCGTCTCGGAGTGCGAAAGGCAAGAGATATTTACAGGGAAGAAGGATGGATGAACACCTAGACACGATCTGCCGTTCCACTGGCGACCACGGTGCCCAACCGACATGCAATGCACTGGGCTAAGCTTCAATTTCCTCGGGGCGGTCGGCACTATGGTCTCGGGGAGTCACCACGGTCGAGAACATCCACTCTTCGGAACGGTCGAACCCGTCACCCGGAGTACCAAACCAACATATCATGTTCAGCATCGCCAGCAAGGATCGGCACGCCTCCTCCCTCTCCTCCTCCTCATCCTCCTTCTCCCCATCATCCTCTTTGTCGCCCTCCTATTACTTCTCCTCGTGAGCTGCCGATTCCATCGGGTCGATCACCCTGGCTTTGGGCTGAAGGCTGGTGGGCGCGAGACGGCCGATCTGACACGAATGGTGCAGCAGCGCATTTGAACCGCTCCTTGTTTTGCGTTTCCACTGCTTCATCAATGTTTTCCAACTCCTCCTCCTCCTCCTCCTCCTCCTCCTCCTCCTCCCCCTCCTCCTCCTCCTCCTCCTCCTCCTCCTCCCTCCTCCTCCTCCTCCTCCTCCTCCTCCTCCTCCTCCCTCCTCCTCCTCCTCCTCCTCCTCCTCCTCCTCCTCCTCCTCCTCCTCCTCCTCCTCCTCCTCCTCCTCCTCCTCCTCCTCCTCCTCCTCCTCCTCCTCCTCCTCCTCCTCCTCCTCCTCCTCCTCCTCCTCCTCCTCCTCCTCCTCCTCCTCCTCCTCCTCCTCCTCCTCCTCCTCCTCCTCCTCCTCCTCCTCCTCCTCCTCCCCTCCTCCTCCTCCTCCTCCTCCTCCCCTCTTGCGCCTCCTCCTCTTGCCCCTCCTTTTCCTCTTCCTCCTCCTCCTCCTCCTCGTCCTCCTCCCTCCCTCCCTCCCTCCCTCCCTCACCCCCTGTCTTCTTCATTTCTCGTCCCCCTCCTCCATCCTTTTAAAAGGCTCCGCCCACTACGATCTTTCTGGAGCGCCGGCTCCAAAACATTTAGCTTGTTAGTTTCCCGCTGGAGTCTACGTAAAGCGACACGTCCGAATTCTCTACTAGACTTCCACACGGGAAACTACTCGTGGTGGCTGCAGTGCCAGGCTCAGATCACAGCGGTGCTACGTATCTGCTTCGACACAGATGCTTTGTAAAAAACTGGCGGCGCCGTCCAGAGCTGTAGCCTCAGCCAGGAACGGCGAGATGGGTTGTTCGAAATATTAACCAGTCTATCCATCTCTCCCTCCCTCCCTCGTCTTCGCATCTTCTCCACTTCTACTTCATCATTCCTCCTCCTGCTCATTCCTCCTCCCTCCCCATCTCCCTCCACCATCCCTTCGCCTTGCATACAACGCGTCCCTGTCGTACCCAGAAGCCGGTCGAAAGGGCGGGCCGGGCGTTTCGCCTGAGACTTCCCCACCATTCATGATCCTGAAGCTCAGAATTCGCAAGAGCTTCACGGATGGAGGGCGGCCCGTTTTCAAAATGTGGTTCTCGCCTCAGCGCCGCGCGAGCTCGTCAAGAAAACGCAAAAAAAGGCTTCACTGATGCAAAGATGCTCTTTTTCAAAGTCTGGTTCTCGCCTCAGCGCCGCGCACATTCGTCTTGAAACTTTCAAAGAATCACGGATGGTAGGCGGTTCATTTTCAACCTGCGGCTCTCTCCATAACGCCGCGCGCATTCGTTCTCAGATTTCGCAGCTGCTTCAAGGATCCTCATGGTTAACGTCCCAGAAACGGTGTTCCAGCACGAGTTCGGACTGTCAAGGCGCAGCAGTCACGCAGATTCGCGGAGCTGAGGTCCACGGAACGGTGCCCCGGCGCAATTCGGGATCGTCAAGACGCAGCAGTGACATGAATTCGCGGCGTTGACGTCCCAGGCATGGTGTTCTGGCACGCTTCCGTATTTCCAAGCAGTTGTCTTCCCACGGGGCACTGCCCTCAGTGAAAGTAAATCCGTGCCCGGGCCTATGAAAGAGGGCGTTCGGAAGGAAGGTGTGTTGCATTATCGTTGATGAATATTGGGTTTCCATTGGTCCTCATCCTCGTCATCCTCTTATTACTCGTCCTCCTGAGAACTGAAAAATTACGGTCTGTGTCTTCTATCTCCTCTTCCTCCTCCTCCTCACACTCTTCTTCTTCCTCCTCCGCTTCATCATCCTGGTCACGAAACCCATCCGCATTCCCACCAAGACCACCGCTATCTTCATCAAACTCATCAACCGCACATCGCCACCCATCATCACCGAGACCAGTGTCATCATCCTACGATCATCACTTCCACTATCACAACGATAACCGTCAATCTCACCATCATCAGCAGCGGCATACCGGCCATTATTAACAACACCGGTATCCGCACAAACATCACCACCAACATCACAACCATCATAAGAATCAGCATGACCATAACCATCGTCATCACCAACAAACAAATCACTATCCACCTGGTCCACCACCAACAAAAACATCCTCCTTCTCCCCATCACCACCATCATTATCATCATCATCACTCTTTCCCTCACCCTGACCCTCGCCCTCGTCTTCGCCATCATCATCACCAACAACAAGATCAGCATTAGCATTGCCGTCACCCTCACCCCCACCATCGCCGTCCCATCACAACCACCCTCACCAGGATCATCACCATCACCATAACCATCACAGGCCATCATCATCGTCGGACATCGTCGTCATCACCACCGCCATTCACCACCGTCACCACCAGCCCCACTCCCGTCCCCATCCACATTATCATAAATATCCCAGATGTGGATCATCACCAACACCACCACCGTCACCACCGTCACCACCAGCCCAAATATCACCCCCAGCATCACTGCCAACACCATCATCAACGACTCCCTCCACCTCCCCTCCGGATGCTTCCTCCAGCGCGCCGTTCTTCCTCTTTTGACCGTCTCCCGCCGGGGAGTCGGACGGGGGGGGGGGCCGCGGGAGGGGGACGGAGGAGATGCAGGAGCGGGAGGGCCAGCAGGGCGGAGAAGGACGAGGAGGAGGAGGAGGAGGCGGAAGAGCAGGAGCAAGAGCAGGAGGAGCAGCAGGGAGGAGGAGGAGTAGGAGGAGGAGTCCACGCCACTGAGAAAGCCCCCCGCTCCCGCCACACTCAGGACCGCGGGCGGCGGGGCCACCCACGGCCTCGTCGCTGGGGGCGGCGTGCCCCCCGTTATTGCCATCGAAAAGGAAGCCGTTGCCTGTGTCGACAGGGACGGCGACGGCGTTGCCGTCGAGGTCGTCGTAGTTCTCGGAGGCCGGCCTAACTACATCAATGTCCATGGGGGTCTCCTGGCCCCCAATCAGAACAGCAATGCCATCAACTTTGACTTCAGCCTGCGCCAGCGTAGGTGCATGCCGGCCCATCATGCCACTAAGGGAGTCATCATCCTCTGCGCTGCGGACCTGCATCAAGAGGCTCTGCATGCGCGCCCATCACGTCCGCAAGCGAAGAGGCGTCGCTCGGATCGGCCAGTACTACTGCCATCATCAGCACGCTGAACGTGTAGTTGCGCGATTCTGTGCCACGGGTAAGCTGCCATGCCCAGGGAAGTCAGGAAAAGGTTGGTCCGCCAGGATCTCCACCATGGCCGTTGCCCTCGCTCGCAGGCCCAGTGAAGAGTGGAGGAAGACCACCAGCAGGGCCCGCGGATGCAGCAAGGAAAGCAACACTCAGCAATGTGTACTCCGCGGATGGACCCCCATAATTCTCTGCACAAGAAAACGTTGAGGTCGACTACCGTGGCACCATCAGGCCCATCGAAACTTACGCCACTGACGTAGGCGACCTCTTCAGATCCCCTGGGGTCGGTGTGACCGCGTAAGTCAGGGTACCCACCTGGCGAACCAAGGGGTTCGGGTGCCACAGGTGGCGCTGGGGGCGGAAGAAGGGACGGCGTCGAGAGAGCGCACTCGTCAGCGACCTCATCATGCGGAACGCCGAAGAGGAGTACGAGGACGAGGACTAAGGAGAAGGATACTGAAGACGAGAGTCAGCCCATGATGCATCTGTGATGACGCAAGCCGCCCTCCCGCCCCAAGCCCAGTCCCTACGCCTATTCCTGTTCACCGCGTGAAGCGCTCACTTCAAAGACGAGCGCCGCCTGGGCCTGCCGTGGGTGGGCGCCCCGTTTTCACACCGGAGCTGCGATGCATCCTTCGCTGCTTAAGGAAGACACCCCCGCACTCTTGACCTCCTCCTCCTCCTCCTCCGCCTCCTCCTCCTCCGCCACGTCTTCATTTACCTCCGACGTCTTATCACGCATCCCGTCACCCTCGAGGGCCGAGGTATCCAGGGTTGGCAGCACTGGCCGTAAGGCCTTAGCAATACACCCCCGCACTCTTGACCTCTTGCTGTCTTGTTCGCGCGCTGCAAGGCACGCGCGTGGGACACCGCAGCCTTTTAGCCCAGAAGAGGATCTGGAGTCCGAAACGCGTCGTCAGCTAAAAGTGGCTGAGATCGGTAATACACCAAGGTCATGTAGTTCAAAGGAGAGGCCAGCAACAGCACCGGTTTGAAAACGAATCGGCCCCGACAGGTGTAGCAGTTTTGCACAGCAGGTCATGAAATTTGGTTAATTACCCAGCGAGAGTTCCATTGTGAAAATCAACCGCCTCCGCCCGAGCAGCTGTTGCGCACTGTTTTAACTTCTGGCCAGGAAATCTGAAGGTAGACCAAGCAGTAGTCCCAATATCAAGGAACCACTCTCAAATCGTGTAACTGCTGAACGCTGTCATGGCCAATATATGCCAGTATGTGCGCGGCAGCAAAATGAGGGCAACATTTTGGAGGCGATCCGCCCTCCGTCCGTGTAGATGTTGTATATGAGATATTGAAGATGAGTGCGCGCAGACCTAACGCGACGGCCTTATTTGAAAACGATCCGCCCTCCAATCAGGTAACTATTGTATTGAACCTTTGAAAACGAATGTGCGAGGCACTTTGACGAGAGCCATATGCTCAGGACGATAAACTTGAAACGAACTGATGGGGCTTCCAAGCTCCAGGATCGGAACCGATGAAGAGGTCTCAAGCGAGCCGCCCGGCCCGTTTTGCCGCAACGTCCACTGGTGCGAGGAAGAGTTACTCATGATAAGCAACGCAGAGGAGGCCGCAGGACGTAGTATAGATAGTGGGGTCATGCAAGCACGAAGCTGGATCTATATCCTATAGAAAAAGCCCGCAGAGGCGGGCAGAGAAATCCCAACGAGTTAGAGCTGGAGGGAGAGGAGGGGGGAGGAGGAGGAGGAGAAGGAACATCGGAGTGTCGGATCCATGAACAATGTCAGACGAGAGGAGGGGCAGGAACAGGAGGAGGAGGAGCAGGAGAAGGAGGAGGAGAAGGAGGAGGAAGAGGAGAAGGAGGAATAGGAGGAGGAGGAGGAGGAGGAGGAGGAGGAGGAGGAGGAGGAGGAGGAGGAGGAGTGGGAGGAGGAGGAGGAGGAGGAGGAGGGAGCAGAGGGAAGACTGGGCCCCTGGCGTCCTGAAAACGGTCTAAGTTCGACGAGGGTCTAAGTTCTGGTAATGTTTCCCCTTGGGGGGGGCCTCCTCAGGCGCACTCTTCGCCATGGCTGGGTCCACCTCGAAGTTCTGGCCAGAACACACACCAAGTAAGGTCTGTGGTCGGTTTTGAAGGCGGCCCAGGCTTCCGACGTCACAAATCACGGCGGCTGATTGTTTCACGTTTGGGGGCCTTGGAGGCCCCATCGAAAAACGGCTTGGGATGAATAGCTGGTCCCCCGAATGAGGTCGAGAGACCCGGGGGCGACGTCACGAAAAGCATAACGTCGGATGCCTGAGAGGCAGTTCAGGCGTAGCCTACTTGGCACGACTCCCCGATAAAGCCTGCGGCAGAACCGAACGTGAAGGACTTCATATTCTGAGCGCGTTTCCTCCCGCCTGCGGCCACTTTCAGTCTTTTCTCACTGCACCAGTTCACAATGAACCAGCCCGCGGCCCGCTCTACTTGGGAACCCGTCGTGTCCCACAGCGGCGCGACAACGAAATGTATGGGAGGGAAGAGGAAGGAGGACAGAGCAGGGAAGCGGAAGGAAAAGAGGAGCCCGGGATGGAAAGGGGGTAGGAGGAGCAAACTCGTCGGCCACGGCCCCCTCCTTGCGCCCTCGGTGACGGCCCCGATTTGCAACAGCCCGGCCGACCCTTCGCCTGGGGGAGCCGCAAGACTCTCATAACACCCGCCCCCGGCGCACACGGCGCGCGGAGGGAGGGGGGAGGCGAGGGCTGAAGGACGGAGGGGAAGAGCCATGGGCCAGATGGGGGGCATACTCCTCCTCCTTTCCCTCCTCCTTTCCCTACTCCTCCTCCTCCTCCTCTTCCTCCTCCTCCTCCTCCTCCTCCTCCTCCTCCTCCTCCTCCTCCTCACCACCACCACCACCACCACCACCACCACCACCACCACCACCACCACCACCACCACCACCACCACCACCACCACCACCACCACCACCACCACCACCACCAGCACACCACCACCACCACACCACCACCACCACCACCACCACCACCACCACCACCACCACACCACCACCACCACCACCACCACCACCACCACCCCACCACCACCAACCTTCCCCAATGGTGTATCCTCGCGTTTCCGGATCCTCTTCCTGCCCCTTCTCCCCCCCCTCCCCCTCCTCCTCCTCCTCCTCCTCCTCCTCCTCCCTCCTCCTCCTCCTCCTCCTCCTCCTCCTCCTCCTCCCTCCTCCTTCTCTTCCTCCTGCTTCCTCTTTCTCCTGCGCTCCGCCTTTTTTTCTCCTCCTTTCCCGACCTCTTCCATCCTTCTCCTAATCCTCCTCATCCTCCTCCTCCTCTTCCCGCATCCTCCAATGCCATTCCTCCATTCCACTCCCCCTCTTCCTCGTCCTCCTCCTCCTCCTCCTCCTCCTCCTCCTCCTCCTCCTCACCACCACCGTCCCCCATGCTGCATCCTCGCGCCTCCTCCTCCTCCTCCTCCTCCTCCTCCTCCTCCTCCTCCTCCTCTCCTCCTTCCTCCTCCGCCTCCTCCGCATCTCCTTCCTCCTCCTGTTTGCTCCTCGTCCTCCTCCTGTCGTCCTCCTCCTCCTCCTCCTCCTCCTTCTCCTCCTCGTACCTCTTGCCTAACTCGGGGGCGAAGTCCAATGAGGAGCCCCACTGGTACAATTCCTGGGGGGGCAGGCACCAAGACTACCTTTTCTGCCACCCCACCTGAGCTTCCATCACCCAGGCAAGAGGCCAGCGACAGGGCCACCCCCCCAAACTAAAAACCAAACATGTCCACTGATGGGGGGACTTCGAGCTGGGGCTCAGGCTCTGGCCACTGAGGCATTTCCCTGGGAAACGCACCGCTTTCAAGGCCTTGATAAGCTTCCGCCCATGGACACTAGCTTAGTTAATACAAGGTCTGGAAAGCTTCTGGAGCTACTTGCGCGCACAACCCCCACAGGCACACCACCAGACCGCACCTCGGAATCTCTGGATCTGTTTGTGGGACACATGAACTCGACGTGGGAGCCCGATGCAACTGTGCACGAGCCACTGGCCTCGCTGGCCCCCTTGGGCGACTCAAAAGAGACAACACACTTGAGGGCCTTGACCGGGGCAGACACCACAGAGTGCTCGGCTCGCTGGAGCAGCTCCTGTGCTCTCTCGGTGGCGGCCAGCTTGCGTCGCGTGGCTTCCACTCGCCTGTCTTCACACCGATTGGGCCCACACATCTCTGGGGCCCCGGTGGCCACAGCCGCAGACACAGCGAGGGGCTCTTCTTGCACCGCCAGAGCCAACTTGCCAGTTCCCGCAGCCTAGGCGGTGGCTCATCCAGGGCACCTGGGCAGGTCGTGCGGCCTCCTCGGCCAGCTTATCGTCAAGTGCTCCCTGCGCTGGCTACCCAATGCTCAAGCTCAGCACCCCTGTCGAGCACGGAGTTTAACAGTCTGCAGTGCGCTGGTGGGACTTAAGATCTGTCAGTTCTGACCTTGCGGCCTTCACATTCATGCCAAAACGCGCCCCGATGACTCTGGTTCGCCGCGTGCTTGCCCTGGGCTCCGAAGCTGATGCCCCGTTCCACGGAATCAGTACCACCTACAAGCGCCAAGTCTCCACTGGTAAGCTGGGCCATCCTAAGGCAAGCCCAAAGTTCGGCCAGGGGCACGTTTTGACTGAGAGCGGGGAAAGGGGACCGCGGTCCCAAGGCAGGAGCCCATGGCCGACAGAAATCCCTGCGCCCCCTCGTCGCCACGGCCGGACCCGCCTTGAGATGCTGGCCAGATCACAATCCGGGAAGGGGTCTGGGCGCTAATTTTGAAAAGGAAGCGCCCAGACCTCCGGGCTACGGCTGCGGCTACGGCTCCGCACTCGTGGCGCCATGAAGGCGCGGCGGAGGGGGCACCGAGGCGCCTGCTAATGTACCAGACCTCTGGGGTCACGGACACACTTGAAAGGTGCTTTCACCCCCCTCTCCAGTTTTGGGCATGCCGCCTCCTCGTCCTCCTACTCCTCCTCCTCCTCCTCATCCCTCTCTGACGACGACGACGGCGGCGACGACGACGCTGACGACGCCGACGCCGACGCCGACGGCGACGGCGACGGCGACGCCGACGCCGACACGACCTCGCAGACTACGACGATCTCGACGACAACGGCGACGGCGACGACGACGACGACGACGACGACGGCGACGACGACTACGTCTGGTAAGTCGGGCTTTCTGGGGGTCGGCCCGTCGCCTGCCCTTGGAGGCCTGGGCGGCTTCCTGCGCATCCTGGGCGTCGAGGGCGCGCTGCACGTCCTGGGGCGCGCTCGGGAGACGGCGAGCAGATCACGGCGAAGCAAGACGAAGGCAGGATGGCGGAGAGGGGAGGAGAGAAAAGAGCCCTCAGCCCTCCTCCTACTCCTCCTCCTCCTGCTCCTCCTCCTCCTCCTGCTCCTCCTCCTCCTCTTCCTCCTCCTCCTCCTCCTCCTCATCCTCCTCCTCCTCCTCTGGTGGCTGGCCTGAGAGGCGGGTCGCAGGCGTCAGCACACCTCATCGTCGGAGGGCTTCGACTCGGTGTCCGAGCCCTCCCGAGCAGTGCGCTCCCCCAGGGCCCTGACCCTGGGGAGGTCCTCCCCTCCACCACGCCGATGCCGGAGGTGGCCAGCGCCGGCGCCTCGGAGGCAGAGCCTGGGACCCCATCGGATCCACCAGGGGAAGGAGGACCTGCGGACACGGCGGGAAGGGGGAGGAGTAGGAGAGCTCCAAACAATACACCACCACCAGCCCCGGCCAGGCCCATCCTGGGCCCTGGACGAGTGTACAGGCCCTCCAGGCCTAGGCCAGGAGGGTATATACACCAGTCCAGGGCCCCAGACGGACCTGGCCAGAGCTGGTGGCGGTGTATTGTTGGCGTCCCTCCGAAGGAAGAAGGGCAGGGCGCCCGCTCGGTTCCCAAAAAAGTCGACGGATCGGGGCCTCCCGAGGCCACGCTCAGGCCGAGCAGTCAGATGCAGCCCGTGCAGCGGTGCACCTCGGGCAGGACGGCAGGGCCAGACCGCCGCCCCCCGATTCCTGCGCTCGGGGATCAGGACAGCGCCACTCACTCTGCAAAGCAGTAGAGACCCCTCCTCCAGGCGCAGACATGGGACGCACAGAGACATAATTACTAGTACTGTATGTTCTCCTTGGAGGCGCGCGTCGGACCCGAACACATCGTACACCGATCTTGTAGCACATCGTTTCCCGAGCGGTGTGGCCAGGAAGCGCCCGGCCACGACGCACATACTCTAAGACTTCTCGGTGTGCGCGTCGCCCCTGTGGGGACGCACATCTATTACAAGTATGTCGGGGTGACGCCGATACACAGCAGTAGAGACCCCTCCTCCGGGCGCAGATCGATCGGGCATCTCTGGGAGCTGGCGGGGAGGGAGGGTGCATCGGGCGCCGCCGCCGCTCTCCGTTCGCAGGGCACCCTCCGGAGCGCTCGCGGCCGGCTCGTGCCGCACCGCGCGGGGTCGCTCGACTCCCGAGCTGCCGCCAGCGCTCAGTCCGGAACGCCTGCGCTGGGATCGCCGCCGCGTCGAAACGGCGCGAAGATGCCGCAAGTGGCCTCCACTGATGGAGGCCGAGCAGCTATCGACCGTCGGCGGGGGGCGACAGGAGCAAGGCCTGAAGTACAGCACGTGGGCGGAAACGGTTGCAGAAACAGTGCGGGTGTAAACGGGTGAAGACGGGTGCAGAAAAGTCCGATGGTGCATACGGGAAAGTGTTTGTAAAAGGAAGAGGAGGAGGGGGAGGAAGGAGGGGCCCCTGCTACCTTGTTGCTATTGTTGACTGCTTGCGGGGGAGGGGTGTCAAGGGCCAGGAGAGGGAGCAGGGGGGCATGTAACACGTGTGAATTGAAAGTGCTTGGGGCATGGAAGGGGCGACCATGTTGTTTGCCATTGATTCGAATATTGGAGGCATCGAGGCACACTGGTCATTGTCATACGATTGTGCATTATTGTTTGGGGTGCCGAAGGCGAAGAGAACATGAAAATCGGAATCGACTCTATAAGTGGCAACAACATGTTGTTGTTTAGGGCGTAAACTAAACTGAATCTGAGGACGACCGTGTCTGTACATATTATTGTGATTCATGTCAGAGGCGTCGAGGGCGAGAAGGAAGATGGAGTAGGAGGAACACGTGTCATGTTGTTGATATGTCTTGTGTTGGGCGGCGGTGAGGAGGAGGAGGAGGAAGAAGGGGAACAGAAGGATCGAAATTCGACTGTGGCGGGTTTTGCACACTGTGTTCTTTATTGTATCATTTGGCGCCCTCGTCGGCACGGATGGAGCCCTCCCGAAACTCCTGCCAAAGTGCACCCCAAGAGAAGTCTGGAGCTGGTTTTGAAGAGGACCACCGGGACGTCCAACGTCATGGAGAAATCGCGGCACGGCTGGCTTGTCCAGACTTCTTGGCCTCTGGGAGCCCGTTTCGGGTCCCGGGGCCATTGAATGTGAGCCCAAGACTTCTACATCAAAAACTTGCGGGGCCAAGAATGAGAAGTCTTTGAGCGACTTTGAGCGGCCCGAGATCGCCAGAGTCGCGTCTCTCGACATCACGGGAATGAGAGCCGACAACAAAAACTGAAACGCCCGCTGGGGGTCACAACGCCGAGGGTGAAGATGAATGAGCCCTTTCGCCGCCTGGAACGCTGTCCCCCCCCCCCCTAAAGGAGGACGAGTGGAGGTCCTCCCCTTATCATTCTAGGGTTTACATCAAGCGACCCAGGATGGAACATTCGTCCATGGGATGATGTCGAGAGGCTCGGGGGTGCACCTCACGCACAAACCCTGACCTCGGACACGGTGTCAGCAGATGGTCGCGACAATGGTGGGGCGGATCCGCTGGTTAGGCCGGACGCAGACGTGGAATCGAACGGCGACTCCCTGTCCTCCTCCTCGCCCTGCAGGGAAGCTGGAAAGAGTGAAGCTGGAGGTCGATTCAAGTACAGCCAGAATGGCAGTGAAACCAATGCTTGGGGCCACTGGGTGGCCTTTGGAAAAAGCGGCGGGGCCAGAGCACAGAGGCTGCGGCTGGCGACAGCTCCGACGCAGAACGCAGACCCTTCCCAAGAAAATGCCAGGTCGCACCTCCCCGCTCCTCCCCCCCGATGCTGCGGACTGGTACGCACACCCTGACGGACTGGAGCCCCCGCAGGTGTCCCTCCACCCTGGTCAAAGTGGCGGACGAAAGCTCACATTACGCGGCGGACTCCAAGAACTGCCATCCCTTGGGGGCGTATTTTGCCTTACTTCCGCCGGCTTCCGGCGGTGGAGCCGCCCCCGTTCTCCTTCCGCCGCAGTCCGCCGGCCTTCGGCCACTTTCCGCCGAGGAGGAGACGGCCGCTCCTTCGATCCTTGAAGGCGAGGCCCTTTCTGGAAAACCTCATGTGGCCGGCGGTCGCCCTGAACGAGCGGGTCGGAGGATCGCGCCGCATCGACGATGCATCGCCGACGTCTCCGTGGAGAACATCGGGCTCCACATCGAGCCGCATCGCCGGTGTGTCGGCGAGGCGGCGCCATCCTCCGACCCCATCTACTCGGTCCCCACCTGGCAGGCCTGGATGCGAGCGGCGGCCAACCCGAACGAGGGGGGGAACGGGGGAGGAGGAGGGGGAGGAGGAGGAGGGGGAGGAGGAGGGAGGAGGAGGGGGAGGAGGAGGAGGAGGGAGGAGGAGGAGGAGGAGGAGGAGGAGGAGGAGGAGGAGAGAGGAGGAGGAGAGGAGGAGGGAGGGGGAGGAGGAGGAGGAGGAGGAGGAGGAGGAGGAGGAGGAGGAGGAGGAGGAGAGGAGGAGGAGGAGGAGGAGGAGGAAGGAGGGGAAGAGGAGGAGGAGGAGGAGGAGGAGGAGGAGAGGGGGCAGAGGAGGAGGGGAGGAGGAGGAGGAGGAGGAGGAGGAGGAGGAGGAGGAGGAGGAGGGGGTCACCTGACCTCGCGCATCGCGCCCCGCGCCCCGCGCCCCGCGACCATCTCTGCCCCCTCGCGCCCCCGCGCGGCCGCCTGCGGCCCAGGCCGCGACGCGCGAAGTGCGCTTACCTTCGCGCCCCCGCGGGTGACCTGCGGCGCGGCGGGGCACGAGCCTGCGCCGCGAGCCGCCCTCCGACTGTGACGGGCGGATGCGGGAGGGGCAACGATGAAGTCGGGCGTTTCCCCCTACAGGGGGATTTTCGACGAAAATAATAAATACTAAAAAAAACATCCCAAATTGCCAAAACATGCAACAAAAATGTTCCCCTGACTATTTCTGGACTGTTTTTGAATATTCCCCCTGTAGAGGGACGGGCCCGATTTAAGGCAACGAGGAGGGAGGGACTGGCTCAAGGGGGGGGGGGGGACATCGACCTGGAATCGGCCATGCATCGCCGACACGTCGGTGACAGGCCACCGGGAACGAAGCCGCACGTTCCTGGACGGGGTGGGGCTGTCAAGATATACAAGACCGCGTCCCCCGAACCGCTTCCATGCTTAACCGCCTCCCGGAGGGCCTGTTCTCCGGAAACCGCTTCCCCGGGGGAAGATATACAAGACCGCGCGTCCCCGGAACCGCTTCCACGGTTAACCGCCTCCCCGGAGGGCCTGTTCCCCGGAAACCGTTTCCCAGTGGAAAGATATACAAGACCGCGTCCCCGGAACCGCTTCAACGGTTAACCGCCTCCCCAGAGAGCCTGTTCCTCGGAAGCCGCTTCCCTGGGGGAAGATATACAAGACCGCGTCCCCGGAACCGCTTCCACGGTTAACCGCCTCCCCAAAGGGCCTGTTCCTCGGAAGCCGCTTCCCTGGGGGAAGATATACAAGACCGTGTCCCCGGAACCGCTTCCACGGTTAACCGCGCCTCCCCGGAGAGCCTGTTCCCCGGAAACCGCTTCCCCGGGGGCCGCTTCCCCGGAAGACCGCTTCCCTGGAACCGTTTCACCAGAACCGCTTCCTTCGAACCGGTCCCCTGAACCGTTTCCCCGGATGCGCTTCCCTGGAACCGTTTCCCCAGAACCGCTTCCCCGGAACCGTCTCCCCAGAACCTCTTCCCTGGAACCGCTTCACCGGACGACGACGACGACGACGACGACGACGACGACGACGACGACGACGACGACGACGACGACGACGACGACGACGACGACGACGACGACGACGACGTGTGTAATTCGCATTGCCCGAGACGTGCTAGTATGAACGGGCCGGCTCAGGCGAAGGGAGCACGAAGACGAGAGCAGCGGCAACTCCTCCAGACCGAAGCGGGGAACCCACGGGAGCGACGGAAAGAAAAGCGTCTCACGCGAGATGGCACAGCGACCTTACGCGGTGGCCTACGCCGGCCGCCACCGCGGCATTCTATACTGGAGACGAGCGCGCTCGCGCGCGACCTCACGCGGGCAACTCACGCACGAATGATGGCGCAGACGACCCCGTTTTTCTGCGTCGCCCACGTGGGAGGCTTGGGGAAATGCGTGCCCCGAGTCGGGGAATCGTCGGCATATCAGGCCCAGGCAGAGTGAGCCCCCGCTCCCCGATCCTCGATCCTCGAGACCCCCCGATCCTCGATGCCCGATCCTCGATCCCCAATCGTCGATCCCAGATCCCCGATCCCCGTCCCCGATCATCGATCCCCGTCCCCGATCCCCGATCACCGATCCTCGATCCCTGATCGTCGATTTCCGATCCTCGATCCTGGAAGCTCCCCGAGCCTCGATCCCCGGCTTGCGATCCCCGATCCTCAAAGTCCCCCGATCCTCGATCCCCGACCCCCAGTCCCCGATCCCAGAAGCTCCCCGATCCTCGATCCCCGATCGTCGAGGCTCCCTGGTCCTCGATGCCCGAGCCTGGAAGCTCCCCGATCCTCTATCCTGGAAGCTCCCCGATCGTCGATCCCCGATCCTAGATCCCCGATCCTCGATCACCGATCCTCGATCCCCGAGCCTCGACCCCCGAGGCTCGCCGAGCCTCGATCCACGATCCGCGATCACTGATCTCCAATCCCCGATCCCCGATCCTCGATCCTGGAAGCGCCCCGATCGTCGACCCCTGGTCCCCGATCCCCGATCCTCAAAGTTCCCCGATCCTCGATCCCCGATCCTCGATCCTCGATCCTCGATCCCCGATCCCCGATCCCCGATCCCCGATCCTCGATCACCGATCCTCGATACCCGATCCTCAATCATGGAAGCTCCCCGATCCTCGATCCCCGATCCTCGATCCCTGATTCCTGATCCCCGAATCCCGATCCTTGATCCCCGATCCTCGATCCCCGATCCTCGATCCTAGGTACAAGCTCCCCGAACGTCGATCCCCGACCCTCGATCCCCGATTCTGGAAGCTCCCCGATCCTCGATCCCCGATCCTCGATCCCCGATCCTCGATCTCCGACTCTCGGTACCCGATCCCCGATCCTGGAAGCGTTGGCAGCAGCAGGACGGCGACGACGACGACAACAACGACGACGACGGACACAACGACCGACGACGACGACACCGGCACCGACGACAACGACGACGACAACAACGATAGCGGCGACGACGGCGAAGACGACGGCGACACCGACGACGACGACGACGACCACGACGACGACGACGGAGAGGATGACGATGACGACAACGACAACGACGACAGCGACGACAACGACGACGACGACGACGACGACGACGACGACGACGACGACGACGACGACGGCGACTATGGCGACAGCGCCGACGCCGAAAGCGACGTGGGTGGCGGCTGCGGCGGCGGCGGGCGGCATTGCCAGGGAGCCACCGGAGGCTTCTGGGATTCTGGCCATCCGAAAGTGGCAGTGAACGCCGTGGCCTCGAAGGACGATCTTTGGCGAAGACGACGGCAAACCCGACGACGACGAAAGCGACGACGACGTCGACGGAGACGACGACCGACAGCAACGACGAAGGCGACGACGACGAGGACGGCGGCGGCTGCGTTCCCGGGAAAGCGCGCGGGTGAAAGGCGCGAGTGGCGAGAGGCGGGGGGGCGCGAAGTGAAAGACATCTCGAAAATGATAGGCGATGGAGAGAGTGATGATGACGGGGGGTGATGACGCCAGCCGGCGTGGAGAGCGCAGCCGTTGGTCGGTAGTTGCGGGCGGTTCTCGCGCGGGCGGGGCGCCCGCCCGCGCGCGACCATGAGCGACCGCGAATCGCGGCAGGGTGGGCTCGCGCAACGGCGGGCGCCCGCGATATTCTTTGCGACAGTCGCACTGGGGCGACCGAAACATTCGCGCGGGCGCGATCGGCCCAGCGGCTGAGGGACTCGTCAAGCGCAGCAAGGCGCGCGCCACTCCTCGCTCTTGGCCGGGTGCGCCAGCTGCGTCACGAAGGAGATCCCGTCCTTGCCCCCCAAACACCTCGTGCCAAATTGCAGTGCTTGTCTCCGCGCGCCCGCGTGGACTCGCGCAGCTTCTTCTCGCCCTCGACGGCGATCTCAGTGATGTCCTGTCTCGTGATTCTCTGTCGCTGGCGCAAACTCAGGATGAGGGTCGGGCACGTGGGGCGGGCGCCCTTTTGGTGGAACTGAGCTGCGCGGAGCAGCGCGGCGGCGGCGGAAGAGTTCCGCTGCGTTCGTGGCGAAGAACTTCTTGTCGAGCGTGCGACGGTGAAAGTTCCGCGTGTCCATGGGGAACGCGGGGGCCTTCTGCGCCCTGGCCCTGGCCGGCGTCTCGCACGCCCACGTCTTCTCGAAGAACGCCGGGAGCTCGAGCTCTTCGTTCGGGAATTCTGCAGCCAGGGTCTCGACCCAATCCGCCGCGTCTTCGACGGGGAGAAACGCGAGGGCGCAGAGCTCCCCGACGCGCAAGCGAAAGTCAGCGTTCTCGCCGCACCTCTTGCGCGAGCCCAGATCGACGACGTGTTTTCGCACGGCGGCCCTGACATGGAAGTAGCACCCGCCGACGTTGATCTCGTGGAACGCGGCCGAGGCCGCCCGGCAGGAAGCCTTCTCGCAATCGAGCAGAAGGGGAGAGCATTTGGAACGCAATCTCCCAGGCGCGCCTGCACGTTGCCATCTTCTTGTCCGCCAGCAAGATGCAGCAACGAGGCGCGACGCATCCGTTCCGGCATCCGCGCGCCGTGCGCACCTGGAGGAAGGGGGCGGGCGCAATGCGGAACGTTCTGTCTGCCAACCAGACGTCCGCCGCGGCCAGTCAGCCGAAGTTCTTCGCGAAGCCCCGCACCTGGGCGCGCTCGCCTCCGGCTGCAGCCCCACTGTTGCACGCCGAGAACTCCTCGGCGTCCACCTGCTTGAGAGCGTCGGGCACGGTGGGCGCCTCCTACAACTTGGAGTAGTCGAAATCCTGCGGCGCCTGCCCCCCGCTCTGCAGACGCTCGTTCTGATCTGACAACCGTGTCCTCCAACAAATCCACTTCAGGTTGGTCGCGGTGGACGCGGCGGTCATCGATGCCCGCGCGACCCCCGCGGGCGCCGCGGAGGCCACGTCCGCGGCAGTGGCGTCGGGCTGTTGCGACTCAGCGGCCCTTGCCTTGGCACGGGTTTGCTCCGCGACGGTATTGTCCGGAGTGGGCAGGTGCGCATGCGGCGTCGCCTGCTGGACGGCGGTCCGGAGCCCCTCCAAGCGGGCCTTCCCTTAACCGCCGCACTTCTCAGCACCTCTCTCGCAGCGCCAGGTGCGGTTGCCGTTCTTTGCGGTATAGCGGAGGTTGTAGGTGAAGGCGTCGTGGGTGAGTTTCTGACCGTTGCGCTTCGACAAAACGAATTGACAGGCGGGTTCGGTGAGTCCCGGCGGCGCGGGCGCAGGCGGCGCGGGCGCGGGCGCGGGCGCCGAAGGGGCCGCCGCGGCCGCGGCACGCCCGCGAGCCCGGGGCGGGGCCGCCTGTGCAGCCATGACAGCCATGACAAGCCCGCATCGCGGACAGAAGGACTGCAGGGAGACGGGCGGCCCTCCTATGCCATGCGAGTCGATCAGAAATGGCCGCGGCAACGGTGGCACGCGAGCATCCTAACGGGCGGGTCGGGCGGGCGGGCCCTGACGGGCGGGACAGGTCGAGTCGGGCTGGCGGCCCCTAACGTGCGGGTCAGGTCGGGTCGGGCGGGCGGGACATTCAAGTATGATGCGTCCTGGAATTGGCACGCGGGTGCCCTAACGGGCGGGGCGGGTCGGGCGGGCGGATTTTAACGGGCGGAACGGGTCGGGTCGGGCGGGCGGACCCTAACTGACGGGTCGGGTCGGGTCGGGCGGGCGGACCCTAACGGCGGGCGGGTGGGGTCGGGTCGGGTGGGCGGGACATTAAAGTATGGCGCGTCATCAAAATAGAACGCGAATATCCGCGCGGGCGGGACGGGTCGGGTCGGGCGGGGGGGACAGTAAAAAATGATGCATCATCGAGTTGACACGCGAATACCCCGACGGCCGGGACGGGTCGGGCGGACCCTATAAGGGACGGGATGGGTCTGGTCGGGCGGGCGGACCCTAACGGGCGGGTCGGGTCGGGTCGGGTGGGCGGGACATTAAGGTATGATGCATCATCGAGTCGGCACGCGGGCACCCTAACAGGCAGGACGGGCCGGGCGGACCCCAACGGGAGGTACGGGTCGGGTCGGGCGGGCGGACCGTAAAGGCGGGTCGGGTCGGGTCGGGCGGGACATTGAAATATGATGCATCATCGAATTGGCACGCGAGTATCCTAACGGGCGGGACGGGTCGGGCGGACCCTATAACGGGCGGAACGGATCGTGTCGGGCGGGCGGGCCCTGGCGGGCGGGCGGGTCGAGTCGGGCGGGCGGGACATCATTGCGCATCATCGAATTGGCACGCGAGTACCCTATAGGTCGGGTCGGGCGGGCGGACGGGTGCCGGAGCACCCGGCTCGAATGCCTGGCCCGGAGCACCGGGAGTACCCACACTGCCTGGAATGACCTGTCTGGTCCTATGGGGCCTGTCCTGCAGAACCGGGCCTGTGGAACCGGTCCTGCGGAACCGGGCCTGTGGAACCAATTCTGTGGAACCGGTCCTGCGGAACCGGTCCTGTGGAACCGGTTCCGCGGAACCGGTCCTGTTGAACCAGTCTTCGTTGAAGCGGTCTTTGCTGAACCAGTCCCAAATCCGTTTTTCATCCTGAGCCGTTTTTTGACGGTCCCGGGGCCCGGCGAGGGCCCCTTGAGGCCGAAAATTGGGAAAAAACTCCGTCGTGACTTTTTCAATACGTTGGATCTCTAGTGTCGTCTGTTGAACCGGTATCTGTTGGACCGGTCATCTGTCGAGCCAGTCCCTGTTGAACCAGTCGTCTGTTGAACCGGTCTTCTCCGCTGTCAGACCCCTATCGACGATCAACGGGCGACTGGGGGTCGATGCGCTCCCCCCTGAGCCTATCGCCCCTTGTGGTTGCCCCTGGCTGCAGGAGGGAGAAGAGCAGCGCGACAGCAGGGGCGTCCTAGGCTCGAGGCATGTGCGCTGACGAAGGCGGGTGAACCACGGGGCGCACTGATGTGAGACGTCCATGGGGCGAGCCATGGGGCAACGAAGTCCTGGAAGCTATCATGGCCCCGGCCATGACTACCCCCCCCCAAGTCATACACCCCCTCGTGGCCGCCCCCGAGAGAACAGTGTAGGCGACCTCCACCACAGGGCCCAGCTATGGCGCTTATGCTCATCCTCCTCCTCGTGGGCGGGAGAGGGACGGACAGGGATGCGAAGGGAGGCGGAGGGCCTGCGTAAGCTGCGCGAGGCCCTGCTGGAGGGCATCCGCCGCCTTGCCGGGGCCGAGGCCCCTGCCGATGCTGTTCCCGCGACTTCTGCGCTGCTGCTCTTCCTGCTGCAGTTGCGTTTCCTCCTCCTTCTCCTCGTCATTCCTCCTCCTCGTCCTCCTCCTCCTCCTCCCTCCTGCTGCTCCTCCTGATCCTTCTGCTCCTGCTGCTCCTCCTTCTTCTCCTCCTCCTCCTCCTCCTCCTCATCATCATCATCATCACCACCATCACCATCACCACATCCAGCATCAGCATCAGCATCGGTATCCTCCTCCTCCTCCTCCTCCTCCTCCTCCTCCTCCTCCTCCTCCTCATCATCATCATCATCATCATCATCATCATCATCATCATCATCATCATCATCATCATCATCATCATCATCATCATCATCATCATCATCATCCTCATTCCTCTTCATCCTCATCATCATCATCATCATCATCCTCATTCCTCTTCATCCTCATCCTCATCCTCATCATCCTCATCATCATCCTCGTTACCATTATCATCCTCATGATCATCATCATCATCATCAGCAGCAGCAGCAGCTGCAGCATCATCATCAGCATCATCATACTAATCATAAAAACCTTAGTAATATAATAATAATGATAATAATACTAATAATAATAATAATAATAATAATAATGCTAATGCTCATCATCAACATCATCAGTATCATCATCGTCACCATCGTCATCATCCTCATCATCGTCATCATCATCCTCATCATCGTCATTGTCATTGGCGTCGAGATCATCGTCATCGTCATCGTCATCCTTATCGTCATCGTCATCATCACCATCACCATCACCATCACCACCACTACAATCAGCATCAGCATCTGTATCATCGTCCTCCTCCTCCTCCTCATCATCACCATCATCATCATCAACATCAGCATTATCATCATCGTCATCATCATCACCATCGTCATCGTCATCATCGTCATCGTCATCTTTGTCATCGTAATCACCATCATCATCATTATCGTCGTCATCGTTATCATCATCATCCTCCGCGTCATCATCGTCATCACCATCATCATCACCATAATCATCATCATCATCATCCTCAACTTCATCCTCATCCTCATCATCAAGAGCATCATAATCAGCATCAGCATTATCAGCATACCCATCATCGCCATAATCAGCATCATTATCATCATCCCCATCATTATTATCATCATCATCTTCATCATCATCATCATCATCATCATCATCATCATCATCATCATCATCATCATCCTCTTGTTCCTTCTTCTCCGCTCCCATCCTCCTCCCCCTCCTCCTCCTTGTCATCCTGATAATCCTCCTTTGCCTCCTCGACCTCCTTATGATCCGGTGTCCTCCTCCTATTCCTCCTCCTTCTCGTTATTCCTCCTCCTCTTTCGCCTTCTCCTTCTCCTCATCGATGGGTGATCGAGGATCGGGGATACAGGATGTTGGGCGTTCTGGATCGTCCTTTGGCCTCTGAAGGCCCCTAGGGACCTTCATCTCCTCATCGTGGCGAGGAGGGACGCAGAAGGAGGAAGGAGAAGCGAGGCAGGAGGCGGGCGGAAGAAGGAGGGAGTCAAAGGGGGAGGGAGAAGGGAGGAGGTCGTGGTTATCTCCTCCTTCTCCTCCTCCTCCTCCTCATCTTCCTCCTCTCATCCTCTCATCATCATCCTCACCATCATCGTCATCATTTTCTTCATCAGCAACCTCATCCTCATCCTCATCCTCCTCATCCTGATCCTCCTCCTCCTCATCATCATCATCATCATGATCAGCATCATCATCAGCATCATCATTATCCTCATCCTCATCCTCATCCTCATCATTAGCATCAGCATCATCATCATCATCATCATCATCATCATCATCATCATCATCATCATCATCATCATCATCATCATCATCATTATCATCATCATCATCATCAGCAGCAGCATCATCATCAAGCTCTGGGCCCGTTCTTGAGTCCTTGTGTGCCTCTGGATGCCTGCGGGGACCTCTGGGAGCCTCCGCAGCACACGAAGGAGAAAGCGGGGAGGAGACAGACGGAGGCAAAAGGGAGGAGGAGGAGGAAGAGAACTCGCCCTTCTGATGGTCGCGGCAGTCGTTGTCGTCCTTTTCGTCCTCGTCCCGCCGTCGTCGACGTCCCTCCTCTTCCTCCGGATCATCATAACCACAATCATCATCACTATCATCATCATAATGGTGGTCGCCACCGTCATCTTCATCGACGTCAACGTCGTCGCCGTCACAGTCAGCGGCATCGTTATCCTCACCAGTATGATTGCCATCGCTTTGACATCGTCATCACCATCGTATCAGCCTAGCGCCGTCACCGTAATCAGCACCATCGCTATCGTCATCATCGTCATCGTCATCATCGTCGCCATTATTATTCTCATTGCCGTACTCCTCATTCGTGCTTGCTACCGTGGATGTAAAGAATTAATTCGAAATCAAGTCGTAATGCTGGAATTCGCCATTCAAAGGCCACAAGCTCCAGGCTTCGGCAAGATCGCTGGCAGCCAGTGAACATGTAATACATAAACGCGAACCACGGAAGCACTTTTTCTCAATCCGTGTTCGGTTACGCATAGGTTGTGTCCCATCTCTTTGCATGGCGGAATTCTACATTACGAATGGGTTTCGCGTTAATTCTTTACAGCCACGGAAATTTCCCGATCACCTGCATTACAATTTCCATCCCACCAAATCCTACTCCTCCGCTCTCTCTTTTTCCCCCACCTCCTTCCCCGAGGAGGAGAGGTTGAGAGACAGAGGAAGAGGAGGAGGAGGAGGAGGACGAGGACGAGGAGGAGGAGTGGGGAGTGGGGAGTGGTGGGGAGAGTAGATATGGCAAGGGAGACAGGGGGGGGAGGGGGAGGGGGAAGGGCGAGGGTGGATGGGGGACGGTGGAGGGCGAGGAAGGGGGAGGGGGGAGGGTGAGGAGAGGGGAGGACGCAGGGACAGCGACGGAGGAGGAAGAGGAGGAGGAGGCTGAAACCAGGAGGGTGGAACGAGGCTCATCGACGCTGCGTCTTTCTACACATCCCACCCCCCATCCTGGCCCTCTTTCCTTTCCCCGTCCCAAGACCTCCGACAACTCGATCCAATGTCTTCGAATCGCCGGCCCGTGGTGACGCCGACAGTGCCATTTGGGCTGGCTGCGACGTTTTTTTTCCAACGGCGAATCCTGGCAGGAACCACGAGTGTCGTTGCCAGCCAGCCCTCGCGCCCTTCGGGATGCTTGGCCATCTTGCTTGCTTGCTTGCCCGAGCTCTCCACCAGGGCTGAACCTGGACGGTGGTTTTCGTTTTCGTTATGTTCTCGTTTCCCCTCGCTTTCGTCTCGAATCCGCCTTCACCGCAGAACGAGGTCGACACGACAACGGCCCACGAAATAGCCGAAAGCACCGTTTAGCTCCAGCCCTGGATGAGGGAGGAGGAGGGAGGGGAAGGATGATGATGAGGAGGAGGAGGAGGAGCAGGAGGAGGAGGAGGGGGAGGGGGAGGGGGGGGAGGAAGGGGAGGAGGAGGAGGAGGAGGAGGAGGAGGAGGAGGAGGAGGAGGAAGAGGAGGAGGAAGAAGAAGTCTGCTCTCCACCCCTTCCCCAGGACCGGCCTCTCCATCCGGAGGATCGGGACGAGCCCCTCGGGGCTGGCCTCGGGGCTGGGCTCGAGTCGCAGGGCCGGTGCCCTTTTCTGAGGCTCTGGGGCCTTGGGCTCGGGGCCTGGGTTCTGCGGCTCCCTCGGCGGAGCCACGGTTCCTCCTGACTGACTGACTGACTGACTGACTGACTGACTGACTGACTGACTGACTGACTGACTGACTGACTGACTGACTCGGGCCTTGGGGCCTTGGGCACGGGTCCAGGGCCGGTGCCATTTTCAGAGGCTCTGGGGCCTTCTCGCGTAGACTCCAAGAACTCCGCGCGGCACTGCGAAAGCGCACGGGTGGGGCAGCACGCCCAAGTCGGCGGCCTGGCCTGTGCCGCCCAGTCGCGGCTCAGGAATGCCGGCCCCCGCCGCGCCCTCGAGCAGGGGAGGCTCAGCCGAGCCTCATGACGTACGGGCCCTCGGTGTCCTCGGGAAGCCTGCGAGAGCCCGAGAGCCTCTGGGGCCCTGGGCTCGGGGCCTGGGTTTCTGCGGCTCCCTCGGCGGAGCCACGGTTCCTCCTGACTGACTGACTGGCTGGCTGACTGACTGACTGACTGACTGACTGACTGACTGGCATCGGAGTTCCAGGGGACGCTGGCCCCCCCAAAGGCAGTTGCGGTGGATCACATCATCATTACCTCGACAGTAGAGAGCGCAAAAGAATACGTAGGACAGAGGAAAGACGCTCCATGGAGCGGGGTAACTACAATTCTTCCTCCTCCTCCTCCTCCTCCTCCTCCTCCTCCTCTGCATTCGTCCTCCGAGGGTCGGCAATCAGGCACCCTCGACTGCGACCGTGCCGGCACCCTCCAATGCACCAGGTGCCCTGGGCCAGTCCGCGGCACGGCCGCGCCCACGCTGTGCCACGCGGGGCGGCCGGGCCAAGCTGCCAGCCTGGCGGCTGTGGCGGCCGCCGCCGCCCTGGCATGCGATGGCATGCGCAACAATCCCCATGCTGGCGCCGCGCAAGCGTCCGGGCACAGGCGTGCATCACCGTGCGGTCCCGCCCGCAACCGCCCTGGGTGGCACCATCGCCTCCGCTCCTCCCCCTGCGGCCCCGGCGTCTGGGCAGGCCTGCTCCAGTGCTCGGCGGGCAAGCCGATGGAGGGCGGGGGTGGGGTTCGGAATTCGTCGACGACCGCGCAATTGGGGCAGCCTGTGACCACGGCGTCTCTGCCCAGCGGGTCTCGGCGGCCGTTCCCCGCGGGGTGTCGGTGGCGTTGGCACCGGCCCTTCGACGCGCTGCTCAAGCGCGGCTTCGCCCCGGGCCGCCCGGGCGTCATCCGTGCCGCTGTTCGGGCGCCCTCCAGGCTTCCGCGCGGGCGGGGTGCTCCGTGCGTGGCGCCTCCGCGCGCGGCGCCTGCTTCGGGTAAGCAGCGGAGGCGCAGGACATCCACGAGCTGTCGAGCCTCCTCATCATCCTCATCCACCTGCTCCCGATCAACCTCATCCTCCCCTTTCCTCCCCCTCATCATCCTCCTCATCAGGTGCCCAATCAGCTTCGCCATCAGAACCACCACCACGATCATCGTATTCATCATAGTCATCACCATCATCACGATCACCAAAGTCACTATCAGTATCGACACCCTCCGACGCGCATTAGTCATCCTCCTTACTCAACATCGTCATCATCATGATCACCACCATCACCATGATCACCTTCACCAGGTCCGTCACCACATTCATCGGCAGCCGCACCAGTATCATATTCATCATCATCGCACTAACGCATCCTTATCATCGCCTCTCATCCTACTGTGAAGCTCATCATCCCGACCATCCACAGCAATCACCACCACCACCAGCAGCAGAGTCGCAATGACCACCATCATATTCATCACCATCATCCTCGTCAGCATCATACTCGTAGTCGCAGCCATAATCACCATCGTCGTCATCACCAACATCAATATCATCACCACAATCATTATCATCATCCTCATCCTCATCCTCACCCTCCTCCTCCTCCTCCTCCTCCTCCTCCTCCTCCTCCTCATCATCATCATCATCATCATCATCGGCTTCGTCCTCGTCCTTTCCCCTTTCTCCGCCTCGCCCACTCCTCATTACAACATCCGCCGCATCATCACCCACCACCTCGGTCATCACCATCACCACCGTTATCACCATTACCATTACCACTACCGTGAACAGCGCATCCAATTTTAACCATAGTCCATGTCTCACTCTGGCTCACATTCCTCCACACCCTCATCATCCGCATCATCCGCATCATCATTTCGTTCATGCCTCCCCTCCGCCTCCCATCATCATCCTCCACCTTACGCCTCATCATTATCACCACCATGGCCGTCGCAACAGCATCGCACACCTCCCATCCGCCTGCTGTCCTCCTGCACCTCATCCGGTTATATGTTGTCCGTCATTCCTATTACCCTCCGAGTCCCTGGGACAACTGGAAACGTCCGTGGCTGCAACCTGCAGAAACACGAACAGATGGAAGACAGAGAACCGACACCCTTACGTCCTGCCGGCCTGGGTCCCGATGGCGGCCGCCACCAGGCCGGTGGGTCGCTGCACTAGCCCTCCTCGCCCCCTCGTTCCCTCCCCCCCCTCCTCCCCGAACAGCGCTTTGCCACCGAACCGCCGCACGCCCGGGGGAGTGCTCTGCACAAGCCTGTCGGCCAATTCGCCTGCCGTCCAAATCAGCTAATTCGATGCACAATGCAGGCGGGGCGTGGCCGTCCAGACGGCCGCCCACAAAGCACGAGCAGAGAGAGGTGGTGGGAGCAGGGACACAGACATCCGCCGAGCTGATCCTTTGAGGGCACGCGTTTCGTGGACGCTTGCTTGGCAAAAAATCCCTGGACACGTCGCAACCGGTCCCCCCCGCCCTGAACATTTGAAGCGCCCAGAGAACTTCCGTCACCCCCCCCCCGACACCGGCCTCTCTAACCGCCCCTGCCCCCTTACTCCCTCCACGGAGGGGGGGGTCCAACCGCCCACCCCCCTCCCCCCAAATAAAATCTGAGTAGTGCTTGATCGAGCTCAAGTAAAATCCGACTGTGCATGGGTCCAATTTAAGAGCACCCTGGCCAGAAACGGTTCAAAAAACAGCACTATAGCTGGATCCAGCCCTATTAAAACCCTTCTCAGGCTCGGTCCAGCACGATTGAAGTCCGACGGTAGCTGGACCCAACTTGAATCGCATCCTAGTCGGGCTCGATCCAGCTCTAATATAATCCTCTACGTGTAGCTGGATCTGGCCCACATTGAATCTTACCACTAAAGCTCGATCCAGCTCTAACGGGGTCCGGTACTATAGCTGGATCAAACTCTAATTGCATCCTACTTGAGCTCGATAGAATTCTACTCGAATCTTACAAGGGCTCGATCCAGCCTTCACAGGATCCTACCAAGGCTCGATCGTTGTCGTCGTCGTCGTCGTCGTCGTCGTCGTCGTCGTCGTCGTCGTCGTCGCTGCCCGACAGCGAGAGCGCCGGCGTCGGCGCTCGCCGTCGTTGGTTGCCACTGGGGAGGTGAGGGGGGGCGGGGCCTAGTGGTTCGAACCCCCCCCCTCTGCAATTCAAAAGAGGGGGGCGCTTCGAACTCCTCCCCTCTGCAATTCAGGAGGGGGGGGGGCGGTTCGACCGCCCCCCCCCGCGCCCCTTCCAAGCGTCCACAGAACGCGCCCTTTAGATCCTTGTGGTCCTCGGCCCCGCAAGTCTCGACCGCTTCCCTGGGGGCAGGTGCTCGTCCTGGATCCGTCTTTGGATCGTCCAGTGGCCCGATGCGTGCAACCAAGGGCCGACATCAGGGAATAAACCTGCGGCTGCAACAATCGTTTCGCTGGAGATGTGCGGGTGAACACGGCACCAGCACCACTGCCGCTGGGACCCCAGGAGAGCGAGGAAAAACCTGCGGTTGCAACAATCGTTCCGCTGGAGATGTGCGGGGGGAACACGGCACCAGCACTGCTGCCGCCAGGACCCACGTGTGGCCGCTGCCTTTCGGTGGCATCCTGCCCGGCGCTCACGTGTCTCCCCCCCATCGGGGAGACACGTCGTGGACCTCTGCCAGGTGGTGTCGGTGTCGCGTCCCCTCCCTCCGTGGATGGAGGGAGGGGAAACGAGGACCATGTCCAAGACTGCACGCGGAAACGTCGGTGTCGATCTTGGTCGTCGTCTTCCTGGGTCATCGTCAACTCTTGGATAGAACCCTCGCGAATCGGCGGCGGCCGGCATGGACCATGACCAAGGTCGGCGTCGACAAGAAACCGCGGCCTCCTGGCGTGGTCATCGTGCTCCTTCCCTCGAGTCGCGGAGGGGGCTGGAGAGGGACGGGCGGCTCGGCGGCGCGCCCAAGGGCCCCCGGAGCGAGGAGGGCGCCCTTCCGAGGAGGAGGAGGAGGAGGAGGAGGAGGAGGAGGAGGAGGAGGAGGAGGAGAGGAGGAGGAGGAGAGGAGGGGAGGGGGAGGGGGAGGGGGAGGGGGGGGAGGAGGGAGGGGGGGAGGAGGGAGGAGGAGGAGGAGGAGGAGGAGAGGAGGAGGAGGAGGAGTGGAGGAGGAGGAGGAGGAGGAGGAGGAGGAGGAGGAGGAGGAGGAGGAGGGGCCCCCTCAGAAGGGCCCGGCCCCTCCACAGGGGCTTCTCCGAGAGGGCCCGAGCCCGAAGCCCAAGGCTCGGCCGAGGCCCGAGCCCGAGGCCGAGGCCGAGGCCGAGCCCGAACTCGAGCCCGAGCCCGAGGCCCGAAGTTCGCAGCCCGAGCCCGAGCCCGGCCCGAGCCAGAGCCCTCCTGACAAAGCCGCCAGCCACGCCCATCCCCGCTGCCGCGCGCCGCCGGTCTACCGCCTAGGAACCGACGCCCTGGTGCCCCAGCGGGCGGTGGATATGGATAGATGGTCCAGGGCTTGGGCCCCCCCCCCAATGCTGATGCCATTGCCCCCCCCCCCCGCGTGATGGTCCCCCCTGCCCCCCCCTCGTGGTCGTCGTCGTCGTCGTCGTCGTCCTCGTGGTCGTCGTCATCGTCGTCGTCGTCGTCATCGTCGTCGTCGCCGCCGTCATCGTCATCATCGTCGTCGTCGTCGCCGCCGCCGCCGGCGTCGTCGCCGCCGCAGCCGTCGTCGTCGTCGTCGTGGTCATCGTCGTCGTCGCCGTCATCGTCGTCGTCGCCGTAGTCATCGTCGTCGTCGTCGTCGTCGTCGTCGTCGTCGTCGTCGTCGTCGTCGTCGTCGTCGTCGTCGTCTCTGGGACCATACCATCTGGGTGGGGGGGGGTTGGCCCGAGGAATCCTGGGACCATACCATCTGGGGGTGGGGGGGGCGTGGGCCTGGCCCCCGGGACGATATATTTCGGCACCCGGGGGCCCGAATATGTCCATATCCACCGCCTGCCGAGGCTCCGAAAACTGACCCTCCAGGCGGTGGATCTGGATACATTCACGCCTCGGAATATCCCCGCTGTCGCGCGCCGCTGGAGAGGAGGCGGAGAGGGGCGTCTCAGTCAAACTGCATGCAAACGAGCTACTCTAGCTACTGGCTCCGCGGCCTCGCCTAGCCGTAAAGCTCGTGGAGCACGGCGTCGATGTTGCCTTGCGGGCGGCCAGGAAAGACACCCGCGACGGCCCTCCGACGACTGCGGGAGGAGCGGAGGAGCATCGGAAGGAACAGGAGCAAGCCCTGAAGGGGGGCGAGGGGCGAGGGGAGAGGAGACGAGGACAGCGGAGGGGGCGAGAATGGGGGGACAAGATGCAGGTGAGGTTCCGATCGCCCTCGTTGGCGGTGAGCGCTTTCCTCAGCGACAGGCTGTCGCCGTAGCCCATCTCGTCGAGCCTGCCCACGGGGAGCGAGGAGTAAGTGCAAAGAGGGGAGGGGGCAAGGAAGAGGAGAAAGAAGGGACAGGGACCGACGAGGGAGAGGGACGAGGAGGTGGAGGAGGGCGAAAAGTTGGATATCGAAAAAAGGAGGAGAAGGGCAAGGAGGAAAAGGAGGAGAAACGAGGACTGGGGGGTAAGAGCAAGAGGAGGAGTAGGAGGAGGACACAGACCCAAAGAGAAGAACGGGCAGCCAAGAGCACGAGACGAAGCGAAGCCGTTCCAGGGGAAAGAGGACAGCCGCGCTTCTCATGGGACCTCTCAGACACAACCCTCACCGAAAACAAAAGAACAAAGCGGGGCAAGCAGTCACTGCGAAGTGCAGAGAGAGAGAGAGAAAAAAAAAAAAAAGAGAGGGAGAGAGAGAGAGAGAGAAAGAGAAAGAAAGAAAAGAGAGAGAGAGAGGCGGAAAAGACAGGCGGCGGTAAAACACACACACACATTGAGAAGTCCGACCCTTCATCCATTGCAGCGCCTCTCGCGAGTGCTACATCTCTAGAATATGATTTGCAGATGCATCGGAGCCTCGCTATGGAGGGGAAGAGGCGAGGGATAATTCAAGATGCGGATGTAAGCACAGCTCGTCATGGTCGCCTGAACATGTTCGGGATGCGGCGCGGGAGAGAAGGGGCGGACGGCGTAAAACAATTCATAATCATTCCGCATCATCAAGAAAAAGGATTGCTGGCCATACGGGGCCTCTCGCCACGCCACCACGCACTCATCGTCAGCTGCGTATAGCTGCAACCTAGCTCGAGCATCGTGGAAATACTCACTGCTAGTGGCAATCCTTAGAAGGCACCCTCTCGCATGCACAGAAAGTCTTGCTCTTCTGACCAAAATTACATAGGCTCTCTAATTGGCGCACGGCCTCGGGAGGAACCGCGCGCCTGAGGGAACGCGCCAACAGCTGCAAAGAGTCCTGCGCGCTGGCGCGCGCACAGCGTGGACAAGGCCAAACTTGGGCAACATGACGCACGGGCAGAAGATCACGCGCACGCGCGAATGCATACACACATATAGATTTATATACATACACACAAGACTGCATTGGTGCTTCGCGCCATGCACCTTGGTCCTTGAAGTTTGGCATGCAGGCGGAATGACAGAAAGGTCAAACATACAACTTAGCGATAACTCCTTTTTGCCTTTTTTGGCATCGCCGTTATAATACTGTGCTTCCTCATCCTTCCTCCATGTTCCTTGTTCCTCTTTCTCACCATACCCTGCGAATTCTTCCCCATCCACCTCAATTTTGCGGGGGCTCCCCCTTGGAGAGCCTCTGGGGGCCTCGCCCAAGGTTTTCAGGCTTTCTTCAGGCCTTCTGGAGGCCTCCTGGGCGTCTTCTGGGGGCCTCTGGGGGCTTCCTCGGGCCACCCTGCCTCCAACCGCGGTCTCCCTGAACGACCGGGTCACGAAGTGGAATGCTTCGGAAGGTGTCTTGGGGCCATCTTGGGCCGTCATGGAGATCTCTAGGGCCATCTTGGAACCCTGTTGTGCCGTCTTGGGGCTCTCTTGGACTGCCTGGAAGCCCTTTCGGATGGTTTTGGGGCGATTTCCGGGTCTCCCAGGCAGTCTCAGACGCCCAGAAGACCGAAGAACAGGGCATTCCCAACATAATGTAAAGATCTGGGACAATCATTGTTTTTCTGCGTCTTGGAAGCATCTTGGGGTCTTCTTTGGGTCGTCTTCGGGCGTCTGGTGGGTGTCTGGGACCTCTTGGCGCCCTCGGGGGGGGCGTTCGGCCGCCCTCCCGACCGATTTGGGCCCGCTGCCCAGGCCCAGCAAGGGCTCTCAGGAGCTCTGAAACGCCTGGGTGGCCTCCTGCAGGGGCGTCCAAAAGGAGCCCTGGGGCCACGGATCCGGGGAGTCCAGAGGGCCCGGGGGGCCCAAGATTCGGGAGGTCTGGTTTCGGGGGGCGGGAGGGGGGGTCCCGGGCAATAAAAATAGATAACCGGGAATATCTGAACCATATATGCACATATACACATACACGCGCTGATGCTGGCCGACAGCCCCCCCCCCGCCCATGCCTTTCGCAGCCAGACTCCGCGTTCGAATCTTCTTCATGCCGACATCCGAAGACATGCCCCGCCCACCAATGCCAGCGAATGCCCCCCGGGCAATGCCCCCTCATGTTGCAACGTTCAGCCGTCGAATGTCAAGCCCAAACTTCTCTGTGTATAGCCAGCGCGTTATTCGAGAAGGCGCGGTCAGGGGCGGTGATGACGCGCCTCCCGAGGTCGACGAATTACCCAGAAGACCCCCCCCCCAAGCGCCCGCGATGATCGATAATGACGCGGGGAGTAGCAACGACCACGTCTCGGGCAGTCAAGCTCAGGTCGGCGCAGACGCCGCGGAGACACATGGGGGTGAAAGTCCTGGGCACGACCTACTTGCCCAAGCATGCGGTCGGGGCAGAGGGCGAAGAGAACACCTGACAACGGGAACCCTTGTTCAGTTCCCCGATTGGCGGGGATGAACAGGCCCCCCCCAACTTCTCAAAGAAACTTCCATCACAATGTCTGCGCAGATAGCCTGGAGAGAGAGAGAGAGAGAGAGAGCGCGCGCGGTAAATTTGGAGACGCCGAGCTTCTCCAACACCTCATCTGCGAGGGCGAACTTCGATGATGCCGGTGAATAACTGCTTCCTGCGAACAACTTCCCTCCGAGACGAGTAAACGGAGTCGGCCGCAAGTGCGCGGAGTGTACGTCCAACGCGCGAGCTCGCAATTTGGTTGTCACCGCTGGCTGGCGAGAGTGGGCGCACCGACGGGCCGTCTCGGATAATGGGAGCAGCTCGACGCACAGTCAAACCCTGGGGAAGAGAATCACAAGCGAGGAGATCATCGCAAACACGATGGGTAAATCGAGCACCAGTGGAGTTCGCGGCTGTCCAGGCCGCGCACAGGATCCCGCCGAGGCCCGGAACCGAGTCGCGTCTGGAATGACGAATGAGTTCAAGATGCGTTTCCTCGGCGCACCAGCTACACTGGCACACATCCCGCCCTGCATGATTCAGCGGGCTGTCGGGGACAAGGCAATCGCGCCACGCAACTTCTGAATGAGACTACGGTCAGAAACTGCCGCTGAAAAACAGGGGGCCTGTGCTCCACCAGCATCTTCGTGAGCTTACCAGGATCAGAATCATGTGTCGCTTGGAGCTGTCACGCGCGCGGGAACTAGACTGCGGTGCTTCGTGGCCCTCTGAGCTGGCGCCTGCGGCGGGTGAGGCTTCATTGCGCCCTCTGCAAGCCCGCTGCTTTCTTTCTGACTTAAAAGGTTACTTTGAATGTGCATCCAAAACAAGCTTAGCAATCCAGCTGAAAAGGCAGGGCTCGAAGGGGTCACTGATGTGGAGATAACCAGACAGGGCGCGCTGAATGCTGGGCCGCGCGATCGGACGCCGCTGGGAACAGGCGCCAAGTACCGCGATCAATCTTCAGCAGCCTGCATTTTCTTCTAAATCGCATCTCGCACTATACACCTACGCCCAGGAACGAGCTTCAGCAGCAACAGGAGGACGCATGAAATCTTCAGGTTGTTCGAATAATTCACCTACATCTGAACTGAAATCAGCGAGGTGCCTGCCGCGCATTTGCCGTGCTTGGCCACCCACTGCGGGGTTCTCGGGGTCCCCGCTGGGGCAAAACATGGCAAAACCTGCAGGGGGGAAAAACACAAGGCAGTGATCGGATGGCTGACCCAAATCAGAGGTGGTCCATGCGGTGCCAGAGCGGGGGGATCGGTCCAAGAGATCTTAGGAAGGTGGGCTGGAATAAATGCGGTCAAGCCGCGCGCGGGAAAGTTCTGAGCCCGCCCGCGTCCTGTGGGCGTCCGACTCTTGCGCCGGCGTTGCCACAAAGGGGTGGGGCGAGAAGAAGGCGAATCGAGAAGCAGAGGGGCCACCAATACCATTCGTGCTGTGATTTCTTGGCTCACCATGTGGACACAGGAGGGATGCCACAACGCTTGCCGAGCGAGCTGGAAGGCCTCACTGGCTTTGGGAACACCCCATTCAGGGCCAATATGAGATTCGCAGGCCTCCACGCACACCCTGCATATTAAGCAGGCCGACGCGACCATCATCGACATGCACATGTATTCATGGTGCCCAGACTTTGCCAGGAAAGTGCACGATACAACGAGAATACTGCCACCAGCATTAGGAAGATCACCAGAAAAAGACCAGACCTGTCTCGTACATGTGCTTCAATATCGTGCATAAGCACGTCAGCATCCCCTTTCTCCGCCATATCTTCTTGGGAACCCACGAAATCAGATTGGGATCGACTGAGAAACAACCCGACACCTCCGGATAAGAGTCTGTTGATTGCTCCACACAGATGGCCAAGGTCTCCTTAGAGAACGGGATGCATGGTTCTTTCCGAATTGTGTGGGCACGAGGGGAAGTGGTGAACACAAAAACAATAAGGGCACTGGAAGACGGGGCACAACGAGTATCAACACCGAGCGGCGAATATGCATGACATGAAACAGGTACCTGCGCAGCAGCAGGCAACCCAGAAGAGAACGATGTTGAGCACCCACCCGCAGCAGCTGGAGCATGACACTCTTGAGACAGCATGCCCCTGTATAGAGAGATCCCCCCATTCGTGTCAGATACTCGTCGGACCTCATGATGGTGCTGCCTTCGAGAAAACTGTCAATCGGACATCGTGGCAGTCTGGTTGAATACAGCCTGCTCCGTGACGCGGTTGAACACCTCAGCCGGCATGACAAGAAATTGTCATCAAAGTTCTCGGCATTAGGATCGTAATTATACTGCGCGCCTCCCGTCCTTGCGTTCGCGATCTGGCCCACGAGCACCCGAACGTCATCCGAGCCTACCACTTGAACCGTACATTTGAAGCCGTTGACTCCCAACTTCATGTCTGTGGCCCACTTCTCGCGTCCCTTAACGATGTTCCTGAATGGCAGGTAGCTTCCACCGAAGGT